ATATATACAATATATATATTTGTATAATTTAGCAACCATATTTGAGTTATGCTAAGCATTTTCATTTGGCAAACAAACTAAAAACAAATTCCAAATTCTTTTCGCTCAAACAAAAATATGTTTATAAATTATGCACGCAGCTACTACTTGAGCTCGTAGCGTATTTCTTGCAATTAATTTGAATAATTAATATGCACACAGACACTGAGGCACACACGTGCAGACATACACACACACACACACACACACACATGCGCGCACAAACGACACACCTTCACTCGTGGCCCATTTCGCCAGGCGCTTTTCTTTAGAATTTCAAATTTCTTCGTTTTTGTTGCTTTTTTTATGTTATTTTTTCGTACTGTTCTGTCAACGCGACCGTTGGGGCAGTGGCAGCAACAGCAGCAGCAGCACTAGCACCAGCATCGTCGTCGTTCTGCCCCAATATGTGGCAATATACGCGCTAACGAGGATAATTCGCACGTTTAGTCTTTGGCTCGATTGCCGCGCAACTGATACGAGGAAGCCAAAGCCGAACGCGAGCTGCAAAAAAATACACAAAATCTAAGAAGAAGAAAGAAACAAAATTTCAACTTGAAAAGCATCGCCAGCTCAACTCATTTCCGCTCTTCGAATTCTTATGCTCCCACGGCTCAACGCTGCTCCCAGAACAAGAGATAGAGCGAAAGAGAGGGAGTGAGGAGAGAGAGTGTACGATTGAGAGCAAGCGCGCGCTATTTGTTGTTTACGCTATGTTGACGCAATTCTCACACGCTGTAGGCCCCACTATGGCTGTGGGCCATATTTCTTGACGCGTTTCCCTTATTGCAGCTAGAATAATTTTTTTTTGTTTCTAAATAAATTTTGTGATTACTTTTCGTTGTTGTTATTTACGTTCGTTCGCAATTGCCGCTGAATTCAAATGGCAGCTTTCACAGGTGTTTGTGCTTTATTTTGAAGTTGCCAAGCGAAGAGAGCGGCGCGTGCAAGCAAGAGCAGCGCCCATACTGAGTGAAGAGAGCGCTTAATACAGCGTTGCCAGACTGTTTGAGAAAAGTGTTAGAACGAAAAGCTGCAGCCGGAAATGACGAAAGCATTTGAATTTAATCTTATCTTATGGTAGAATCTTAAATTTAGCTTGTGATGGGTAAATAAAGCTAGGTGTATACAAATCTTGTCGAAATCGTCTGGAAGACTACTTGAGAGTAGCCACCTGAGGATGGCAAAAATTATTGCTAAAAATTTAATCAAAATCAAAATTACACGGTTAACAGGCCAACAAGGGATTTATATATAAATCTAAATCGCTTATACTGATTATTAGGTTTATTTAAATTTTAACTGAAGTAAACATTTTTGTTGTCAACTTTTAGTAGATTGTGAAATTATTTATATTCAATTGAATTACTTAACATTGAAAAAGTACATTTTAACATTCGACATTTGTAGATATTTTTTTTTTTTACATTGGATCGAAAATATAAATTTTAAACGTTATTAAATACTTAAAAAAGAAATTAGCATTTCTTTACTCGAAATCTTCATTGGTTATACCAAGCGAAATCATAAAATATCTACTACAGCTATATATATCTGTTTATCTCTTATTTCATGAATACCACAATTAATTCTGTCATGCCTCTCATTAAAGTCCAGTCAATTTGCGCAGCACTAGGCGTATACGTAATATGCTGTAATAGCTAAAAAGCTTTTAAGAGCTTCAATGCATGGGCAGTGCTCTCTGTTTGCTGTCTAAGAGAACAAGCCGCACGCCTTAGCTTTTTACAACTTGAACACGTAGTAAAGCTCGCAGTACACGGAAAAATATTACGTATACGAAACGTAAGCCATCTTCTTGGACTTTATTCTGTTATTTATTTATAAACCACTAAAACACATTTCTAAAAATATAAAATACAAACTATATACCTATTATTATTATTATTATTATTCATTAGTCAGTTCAATTGCTAGATCTGCATTTGTTTTTCTTTTTTGCCAACTTCTAATTGATGCGCGTTAAAATGCAAGCCAGAGCGGAAATGTAAGCGGAAATGTGAAGCTTTTGGCCAACTGTGGAAATGGCGACAACAACAGCAACAACAGCAACAACAACATAATGGCTTTTGCTACGGAGAGAAGCTTTTCATTTTCAACAGCCATGCAATTACTGTGCAGAGGGAAAATGAAARAAAAAAAAAAAACGGCATACGAAGCAACAGCAAAAGGGAACCGTCAAATTGTGCCAGCAACACATGTAGCACCTCTGCGCGACTCCCCCCGTGCCTGCTCCCAGATTGGGTGGGGTTTCTGCTTCTTCGTTGCGAAATGCCATTGGAGTTCTAGACAACAAAAGCATAGCACGTAATATAATAAAGAGATTTTCCATGGCATACAAAGCGGCTGCCGTATCGCGTTCTAATCGAAGTCGGTTTTAGCGGACCAGAAACAATTTTATATATGTATATACGAGTATATATAATTGCTCGTGCATTTGCTAGTCTTTTGGCTTTGTAAACAAAGTTTACTATCTATTACTTTTATGTATTCTTTGCTTTACTTCTGCTAATCAACAGCAACAGTTTGTTGGCACGCGAACACATAGCGACATAGAGAGAGTGATAGCCATACAAGCATCTGTCTATGCTGAGAGGGAGAGAGTAAAAGAGAGAGAGTCTGAGTGAGCGAGCGAGCTGTCAGAGAGGCACTTTCCAATTAGCTTCGTTTAGAATGTTTTTATATATATATGTACATGTACATATGTGCCAAGGAATTCTCATTTCACGTATTTTCACATAGCTGATGCCGTCTAATGAGTTATCCAAACAACGACGAGCTCATTCAAGTGGAGGGAGCACCACAGTTATTTATTGCAATCTTTGTCGGCCATACACATTGGAGAACTTTTCATTAGCTTAGCATTGGCTTAATGAGCTTAGGCTCTATTATTATTTATTATTAGCTCTATTTAAATGGGAAATGTATGCTTAACTTTAAGCTACAGCTGAGCAATGACAGTTTCCAATTATAAAGTCTGAGCGAAAAGTTCTACAGAATCTGGAATTTTACCCGCAGTAAGTTCGTCAAATAAATAATAAACTATATAAATCTCACAATATTCTGTGCTTATTTTATTCTCTAGCTAGTTATAAGCATATTTAAAATTGCTATGTAAGCCACACAAAATGGTTGCCCCTTAAGGTATGCAATAAATTTTTTACTCTTTTTAATAGGCAGCAATGCAAATAATTACCTCAATGTAATATAGCTGATGTTTTATATATGTCGTCAGCCTTCTCTTAAGCTCCACACTTCACACACGGTTAATATTCTTCCAGTTCTCATGCAAGACATTAGCAGTTGCTCTGCTTTAGCCTCTTGAAATAATCCGCTTAACTTCTATTTTCTATAGTTAATTGCTCTTGGCCGATGTAAACAACATCTTGCTCAGAGTTCGTAAAGTAAGCACCGCATGAGATTTGCCTCTCGTGTTTTATTTAAAGAGACTTTTATAGGCGGTTTGAGCATATTTCCTTGTGAAATATCAATTGAAATTTAGATGCTTTATGGGCAAAGTTACATTTACAAAAATAGTTGAAATTATCCTAAACAATTAATGATGATACGATATTGATAATGTTGATAATAATAGTGTCTATCTTAATCGTATAATGGTATAAAATTATTGATAGGGCTGATAAAATTGATAATGCATCAACAAGTGCTGATAAACAGATTAAAAAGATTAATGCTATGAATAATGTCTATATAATAATAACAAAATAATAATAATAATAATAATAACAAAAAGCAAATGCTTTATCTATTTTTATTTCCTATCTATCTATTTTTAGCCCTGAATATTTTGCGCTCACGACTAGCATGAGTAAAATTATCATATCAAATTTGCGCATTTCCAATCATTGGAATTTTTGTTTATCTGACAGATTTATGTAGTAAGTTATAAATTTACTTGCATAAGGCAGACCTTTTTTTTTAACTTTGAATAAATTCTCGTAAATAATATTCAAAAGGACAAGAAACTTGGAGCAAACATATGGTGAATTTCTAATTGGTTGCTTCTGATAAATCTCTGATTTATTGACGGGTGCTTGGTTCTTCCTTAAACTATACACACGCAGTATATATATATATAAATTTAGATATATATATTTTTTGTCATAAATTAAAAAGCAAAACAGAAGCTCAGCAATTTAGTTAGCACATTAAATTTACATATATTTTATACGAGTAAAACGCAGAGGCAGTCGCAGCTGAAGACTCTTAAATCTGGGCCAGGCTCTAAGTGGCCCGAGCTCGTTTGGTTGCCTGGCTGCCTGGTTGGCTGCTTGGCTGGATAATGCGGCAATTGTTAAGCCAAATGCAAATAGATGTTGGAAGTTGCAGACGTCGTCGTCGTCCTCGTCGTCGTCGTGTATGCCTGGCCGCGTGCAGCACATAAATCACTTGCCGGACTCCAGTCGAAGCTGCGTCGCCATGGTGCACGCCTCCTTGTCGACGGTTAGCTTGGTAACGCGCTGGAGCGTTTCCATGGTCTGCATGTACAATCTCTTGGCCAACTCCTTGTCCTGGCCGGCCTCCGAGCTTGCCGCAATTTCGCAGTCACTGCAAGTAGCCAGCGAAACGTGGTACAAAATGAACAAGTACGCGTGGCATAGTCGGTAGTGTCCGACTTGAAAGTACCCTGGAAAATCTTTTTTTTCTTTCCTCAATTTTAATCTTTAGTCTTATCGATTTCGGTTTCAGGCAGACAGACGAACAGACGAGATTTTACTCGAAAAATCCACATTCCTCTCTTTACTTCTCATTTACTTCCTTCTGTTTGTTACATACTTCCAGCCAAAATGCATATACCCACTGTACACAATTCGAAAGGAATCCCGGATATAAAAAGTGTAGGAAAATAGCGCTAATGCGGCATCAGCCGGTTCCGGTATTTGGCAACTCACTTGAAGTACTCGCCGGTCACTTGCTTCAGCTGCGGATCTGTGGCCAGGCGTATGGCGCACTGGGCTCCCTCGCAGGCGTTCTTCATGAATAGCCACATCCAGGGGTAGGTGATCACCTTGACGCAAATGGCCGACATTAGCGGTGAGCTGTGCGTGTTGCCCGCATCGAAGGAAAAAAGGACACAAAAAGAAAAGGGGGCGATAATGAAACAAAAGTTAAAAGAGGCAACAAGAGTTAGCTTAATTTCATTTCCATTGTAATTAAAATGCAAAATTAAAAGCCAAACAGAGTGTAGTCGACTTGGAGATACTCTGTAGTATATAGACGGCATAGAGTAGCATGGTAAATTTAGTTATTTTGCTTTCATTTTGAATGGGAATGTGAG